TGTCTCACTTTGTTTGCCGTGATCTCATCTAAGTTTATATTAGTGTCTCACTTTGTTTGCCGTGATCTCATCTAAGTTTATCTTAGTGTCTCACTTTATTTGCAGTGATCTCATTTAAGTTTATCTTAGTTTCTCACTTTGTTTGCCGTGATCTCATTTAAGTTTATCTTAGTGTCTCACTTTGTTTGCCGTCATCTCATTTAAGTTTATCTTAGTGTCTCACTTTGTTTGCCGTGATCTCATCTAAGTTTCTCTTAGCGTCTCACTTTGTTTTCTGTGATCTCATCTAAGTTTATCTCAGTGTCTCACTTTGTTTGCCGTGATCTCATCTAAGTTTATCTTAGCGTCTCACTTTGTTAGCCGTGATCTCATCTAAGCTTATCTTAGTGTCTCACTTTGTTTGCTGTGATCTCATTTAAGTTTATCTTAGTGTCTCACTTTGTTTGCTGTGATCTCATTTAAGTTTATCTTAGCGTCTCACTTTGTTTGCTGTGATCTCATCTAAGTTTATATTAGTGTCTCACGTTGTCTTCTTCTTTTATATTTTTTTTTGCCAAGATCTCATCAAAGTTTATCTTAATGTCCCACTTTTTCTTCTTCTATATTATGTCTGCTGTGAGCTCATCTAAGTCTCATCAATTCACTTCAGTTAGTGGAAGTAATTCTTCATTTAACTCCAGTTAGTAGCAGTATTTCTTTATTTACTTGAGTTAGTAGTAGAATTTTATTATATAACTTCAGTTAGTAGCAGTATTTCTTTTTATAATTTTAGTTCGTTACAGTATTTCATTATAGGCCTATAACTTCAGTAAATAGCAGAATTGCATCATGTAAATTCAGTTGGTAGCAGTTTTTTTATTAAATAACTTCATTTAGTAGCAGTATTTTATTATATAACTTCAGTTAGTAGCAGAATTTCATTACATAACTTTAGTTAGTAGCATTATTTCTTTTTTTAACTTCAGTTCACAGTACTACCTTATCATTTATATTTCGTGAGGTTAATTTTACTTTTCATTGGTTATAACCATGGTTTTATCAGAGAAACATTTGCCACCGATGAAATAAAAATTAGACTTGGTCCTAATTTTTTATAAAATTTAGTTTATTGTATTTTGACACGATATTTAACATCCTTGAAGTACTGTGGTTAGCTTCTGCTTTCAAATTTTTATCCACGCTAGGCCTCCAAGATAATAAACATGAGTGTTCATCACAAGAAAAAGGCCAAGTTAAGGTGGTCCAGCTATTTGAGACCGATAGGTGAGTAGCAAGTCTGTAATGGAGACGAATGTGTTCAGGTTGATGCCACATGAAAAATAACTTACAGAGTAGGGCAAAACCTAGGATCGGACAAAACTAAAGGAAGAACATCATGAATAAAAAGATCTCATTTTAGTTTATCTTACTGTCCCACTTTGTCTGCCAAGATCTCATTTTAGTTTATCTAAGTGTCCCACTTTGTCTGCCGTGATCTCATTTAAGTTTATCTGACTGTCCCACTTTGTCTGCCAAGATCTCATTTAAGTTTATCTTACTGTCCCACTTTGTCTGCCAAGATCTCATTTAAGTTTATCTTACAGTCCCACTTTGGCTGCCGATATCTCATTTAAGTTTATCTGACTGTCCCACTTTGTCTGCCAAGATCTCATTTAAGTTTATCTTACTGTCCCACTTTGTCTGCCGTGATCTCATTTAAGTTTATCTTACTGTCCCACTTTGTCTGCCGTGATCTCATTTAAGTTTATCTTAGTGTTCCACTTTGTCTGCCGTGATCTCATCTAAGTTTATCTTAGTGCCCCACTTTGTCTGCCGAGATCTCATTTAAGTTTATCTTAGTGTCCCACTTTGTCTGCCGTGATCTCATCTAAGTTTATCTTAGTGCTCCACTTTGTCTGCCGAGATCTCATTTAAATTTATCTTAAATAAAGATAATATGATAGGGGCAAAAAGCTATTAAGAAAATAATAATAAAGAAAATGTCGTTCCTTTGCCGGCCTCCATGCGTGTGATTGTGGGCCCCATACGACCCCTTGGCGCATGCTATGCAGGTCTGGTCTAGAGTGATGGATAAAGTTAATAGAGTAATGTAACAATCTAACTAGCGTCATGCAACAATCTTACTAGAATCGAGTAACAAACTCACTAGAGTCAAGTAACAAACTTACAATTGCTTTGTTATAGAAATTGCAACTCTGTGCTACTGCTGCTTGCATGACCCGGCGTCGTCCTATCTCAAAGCGCTCATGACGCCTTATGTACCCAATAGACAACTCCGCTCATCCGATAGTGGCAAACTTTTGATACCACGTGTTCGCAATGAGACTTACGGAAGGCACACTTTCACTTTTGTTGGCCCAACAATTTGGAACACACTTCCTGTCGCTATCAGAAACAACCAGACACTGGAGTCTTTCAAAACTGCTTTGAAAACATATCTATTTCGAAAACACCTGCTGAGGTGATGTTGTCTACCATCAGCTCCAGCTAGCTATTATCTCTTAGATGTAAAGTGGCCTGTGTTGTTTATGGTTGCAAGGGATGAAAGACTTAGAGTGGCTATTCTCGTATGTAGTTTTTGTAATGTTGCGTTTGTATTTCAATGTGGTACAATATAGATTTTTTTTCATTACTCTTTTAATATGGTTGACTTTGTACCACGCTTCGAGCCTTTGGGGATGAAGCGTGATTTTCAAAAAAGCTTTATTATTATTATGTAACAAACTTACTAAGAGTCATGTAACAAGCTTGGAAGAGTCATGTAATATGCTTACTAGAGTCATGTAATAAACTTACTGGAGTCAAGTAACAAACTAACTATAATCAAGAAACAAACTTAATAGAATCAAGTAACAAACTAACGAGAGTCATTTAACAAACTTACTAGAGTAATCTTATAAACTTGTCATATAAAAACCAACTGAAATCATTTAAAACATTTAACAGATTCATGGAGCAAACTTACTAGAGTCATGAAACAAACATTATAGGGTCGTGTAAAAAGCTTAATAAAGTCATGTTACAAACTTAACATATTTATGTAACAAACTTTATGTCAAAAACTTACTAGAGTCATTTAACAAACTTGTCATGTAACAAACAAAATAGAGTCATTTAACAAACTAACTAGTGTCATGTAACAAACTTACTAGAGTCAAGTAACAAGCTTACAAGAGTCATTTAACAAACTAACTATAGTCATGTAACAAACTAACTAGTGTAATGTAACAAACTTACTAAGAGTCATGTAACAAACTTAATAGAGTCATGTTTTTAAAAAAAACTCTAATCCAGACAATATAGTTAGTGCCTCCCCCGGTCGGACTAATTTTGTACCAACCCTTGTCAAGAAACCAACACTGCCGTTGGCCGGAATTGTCTTCCTTAATTTAACAGAAAAAATTGCCTCCCTCACTTTCCTAGCCACCGGATAAAACAAAAATATGAACAGAATGTAGATTAATTTATTAATGATTGGAGTCTAGCTTTCATCAAATGATTATTAAATTAATTTTCATTTCAGAAAAATCCTCAGAAGTTTAACAAACGTCCTCTGAAACATGACAAGGTTTTCTATAAGCGGCCCACAGAACATTGTTTCTGTTGTCTTCTTTGTTTAGCTTTTGTCTGACACATTTAGCTGACACATTTAGCTGACACATTTAGCTGACACATTTAGCTGACACATTTAGCTGACACATCATCATCAAACACATTTATCTGACACATTGAGACACGTTGGTGTTTTTAATGTAAGTTTGAAAATCATATTAGAATCTAAAAGTCATAATCTAATAATGAACTACCGGTCATAACCTGATAAGGACCTATCTGTCATAATCTAATAAGGATCAACTGTAATAATCTAATAAGGATGCACAGCATGACATGTGGCAATGGACGTCGACAGGCTGTTTAGGTTGGTCATGGCATAGAACTACTAGAAATTCTGACGTTGTGTGCTAGCTACGATATGTGTGTTAATAGGATGGGACAGTGAAACACGTTGAGTTTATTAAATGTATTTCAAATGAGCATAAACTTTGTTGCTTATTTTCTCAACACTTTTTACTTTTATCCAAATTTCAAAACATTTTTTTTAAATCACTCTCTATATAATTAATTTAAATAATATTTATTTGTTATGTTTCAACATTTGCTTTTGTTAAACAGTTGCACAAAAAAAAAATCATGTGGATTCAGAGACATTATGAGTTACTTCACCTCTCTGTTATGGTGGGTTTGTGGGATTTAATGGGTGGGGACTTGGGGATGTAATGGTGGGAAGGTTGGGATATAATGGTGGGCATGTTAGGATATAACGGTGGTGATTTGGGGATATGATGGTGGTGATATAGAGATATAATGGTGGGCATGTTAGGATATAACGGTGGTGATTTGGGGATATAATGGTGATGATATAGAGATATAATGGTGGGCATGTTAGGATATAATGGTGGTGATTTGGGGATATAATGGTGGTGATATAGAGATATAATGGTTGGCATGTTAGGATATAACGGTGGTGATTTGGGGATATAATGATGGTGATATAGAGATATAATGGTGGGCATGTTGTGATATAATGGTGGGGATGTTGTGATATAATGATCGGTTTGTGGGTATATTATGGTGGGGATTCTGGAGATTGAATGGTGGGATTATGGTGACATAATAGTAGGAATATGGTACACAATGGTCGGAATTTGGGGATATAATGGTGGTTATTTTTTGGATATAATAAGCATTTATAGTATCCCTGGGGCTGATGGAGTCTTTACAAAATTCTTGTGAATACACATTGTTCACTTAATATACACACTAAGAAGTCAAAAGTATCCACATATTTGTGGTTGATATTGCATGAGCTGTCCAGTTGATATCGAAAGATAACATGATCACTGCCTTTTTTCTAGATTATATTCATTTCGACTTGATTATCCCTTTAACAAATGATTAGATTACATTCTTTGCGATGAGATCATTTCGAAACTTAATTTTGTCCGTGAACCTTGGTACAATAAATGATGTCTATATATGCAATGTATATCATGATGTGCTTTGGTCTGCCATATTTTTATAGTGTAGCTGGCTGAAAGCTACCTGTCTAAGATCATTTTTAAAATTATTTCTCAAAGCTCATTTCACTTCTATTAAAAGTAATATTGCTTAAGTTGTATTGTACAAGTACATTTAAGATAATGTAAGATTAAGTCTGTCAACAACATAGGCTAAGAAAAAATAGGATGTGGATAACATAGCCAGTGGATCGAGTGTGGATAACATAGTGTGTGCATAACGTACTCTGACGATAATATAGACTTTGGATAACGTAGTCTGTGAATAAAATAGTATTTGGATAACATAGTCAGTGGATAACATAGTATGTGGATAACATAATCTGTGGATAACATAGTATGAGGATAACGTAGTATGTGGATAACATAGTATGTGGATAACATAATATGCGACTAACATTGTTAGTGGATAAAGTAGCTTGTGGATAGAGATGTAATAAATGTTTGAGCTAAGAAGCATAACTCCATCAAGACGCACATCATGAGATACCTTGCGTTTACTGTAATACTGGGATACTCCTATATTTCTCGCGTTTTCGCCAATTCGACCAGTGTTCCTCTCATTGACAGCTCACGGACCAATGGAACAGATTTCATGTCATTTCAACCTGGGTAACGCAATTTCATATGCATATGTAACCTTAGTTAATGTGGGCATGTGGGTAATATAATGGTAGAATATAATGGCAGGGATTTAGAGATATAATGATGGGGATGTGGTGGAAGTAACTGTGGGAAAGTGGTGATGTAATGATGGGGATGTGGTGGAAGTAATGGTGGGAAAGTGGTGATGTGATGGTGGGAATGTAGAGAAATAATGATAGGGATGTGGTGGAAGTAATGGTGGGAAAGTGGTGATGTGATGGTGGGAATGTAGGGAAATAATGATAGGGATGTGGGGATATAATAGTGGGAATGTGGGGGAAAAAATCGTGGGGATTTGAGGTAGTAACGTGGGGATGTGGGAATATAATGATGGGGATTTGGGGGTATATTGGTGGGAATTTGTGTATGTATTAAGTTGGTTAATATTAAATAATTTTAAAAGTTATTTAACATTAATAAATAATATCAACCCTTTAATTCAACTGATATGCTTAACTGTCACTTAAAACGATGTGCCCACAACAGGAACCCACTGGGCCTGATCAATCAAGTGTTCCAGGCTATGTTACTGATCTACAGCCCCGCATACTCCACATCCCAAAGATGCGCACTACAGCGAGATGAGATCTTCAAGGGCTCCCAAGTCAACCAGTTATGGGCTCTACAGTGTAAGTGAATGCTCTGTTAAATATTCTCAGTCTAGTCCAGGGGTGTCAAACTCCATCACTCGGCGGACAAACTCAAATCACATTTAAGATTGCGGGCCGAACAGGATAAACATTCAATAAGTGGAAAATTCATCTTTTTTTTTTAACAAAAAAACATTAATTTAATTGAAAACAGAAAAAAAGTTTTAATAATTAAAAATCGTTGGCATACGTATTTTTGTTCTTATGCCAATTTGTCAGAGCTGGATGTTTTGGCTCGTTTTCTTATGGTAGACTGCAAGTATTCATCTGTGAAACGACTCCTGTGTGATGTTTTGTTAATCTTGATCACAGAAAACAGTTGCTTATACATACATGTGCTACCCAACATGCTCAAGGTTCGAGCCACATGTAGACGAAGCTAAGCATCTCTTCGGGAATGAAATAAGTGAACTATACAGGACCAACTGTGTCATGCTTTGCCTTTAGTGTCCCATTGCACAGCAGCTCTATTAGCTCCATCTGAAATGTAAGGTGCAGTTTCCACGTCTATAAAAAATTGGTTACGAAACAGTTCGAAATTAGATTTCTGTGCTTTAAAGTTACTAAAGCGCCGTGCGAACTCGGCGCGAAGTTTTTCAGCAAATTGTGCATTGGGAAACACCATAGCGTTGACTTGGATCTAATTGTACGCCGGTCAAGACCTCGCAGGCCTGATATAATTGTACGGCCGGACGGATGTGGCCCTCGGGCCTTGAGTTTGACACATGTGGTCTACTCTAACATTTTACCACAGACTTTGACAATTATATCCCCCCCAAGTGGCTATAAACCCCACACCGAAGTGGCTATTACCGCACCCCCTAGCGGCTATTACCGTGCTCCCAAGTGTCTATTACCACAAGCCAAGTGGGGATTACCACACCCCAAGTGTCTATTACCACAACCCAAGTGGCTGTTACCACACCTCAAGTGTCTATTACTACAAACCAAGTGGCTATTACCACACCCCCAAGTGGCTGTTACCGCACCGCCAAGTGGCTGTTACCGCACCCCCAAGTGGCTGTTACCACACCTCAAGTGTCTATTACTACAAACCAAGTGGCTATTACCACACCCCATAGTGGCTGTTACCGCACCACCAAGTGGCTGTTACCGCACCCCCAAGTGGCTGTTACCACACCTCCAGTGTCTATTACTACAAACCAAGTGGCCATTACCACGCCCCCAAGTGCCTATCACCACACCTCCAAGTGGCTATTACCGCACCCCCAAGTGGCTATTACCACACCCCCAAGTGGCTGTTACCGCACCGCCAAGTGGCTATTACCACACCCCCAAGTGGCTATTACCACACCCCCAAGTGGCTGTTACCGCACCGCCAAGTGGCTATTACCACACCCGCAAGTGGCTGTTACCGCACCGCCAAGTGGCTATTACCACACCCCCAAGTGGCTGTTACAGCACCGCCAAGTGGCTATTACCACAACCATAGTGGCTATTACAACACCAAGCGTCTATTACCAACACCCAAGTGTCTATTACCACACACCCAAGTGGCTATTACCGAACCCCCAAGTGACTATTACCGCACCCCAAGTGACTATTACCGCACCCCAAGTGACTATTACCACACCCCCAAATGACTATTACAGCACCTCCAAGTGACTATTACCGCACCCCAAGTGACTATTACCGCACCCCAAGTGACTAATACCGCACCCCAAGTGACTATTACCGCACCCCAAGTGACTATTACCACACCCCCAAATGACTATTACCGCACCTCCAAGTGACTATTACCGCACCTCCAAGTGACTATTACCGCACCTCCAAGTGACTATTACAGCACCCCAAAGTGGCTATTACCACGACCCTAAGTTGCTATTCGTGCTATAGAGAAATTGCGTTACTTTATATTTGGATGCATAATTAAAGCTAACGCTTACTCTTCAGGTCTGTGAAACTATTATAGTGCTGACGTAGTACAACTCAGCCTCTTATAAAGCTGATATTCTACAACTAAGCCTCTTATAAAGCTGATATTCTACAACTAAGCCTCTTATAAAGCTGATATTCTACAACTAAGCCTCTTATAAAACTGATATTCTAAAACTAAGCCTCTTATAAAGCTGATATTCTACAACTAAGCCTCTTATAAAACTGATATTCTAAAACTAAGCCTCTTATAAAGCTGATATTCTACAACTAAGCCTCTTATAAAGCTGATATTCTTCAACTAAGCCTCTTAAAAAGCTGATATTCTACAACTAAGCCTCTTATATAGCTGATATTATGTAACTCAGCCTCTTATAAAGCTGATATTATACAACTCAGCCTCTTATATAGCTGATGTTATACAACTCATCCCCTTTAAAAAGCTCATATTGTACAACTCAGCCTCTAATGAAACTGATATTCTACAACCCAGCATATTATAACACTGATGTTGTACAACTCAACTTATACCTATGCTTAATAAAATGTGAGTGTTGTTGGAAATAAAAAAAAAAGTCTATTGATTATCTAATTCTAGTTTTGGATTCCATGGGCAAACCAAGCTCGGGCATTTTTCAGGGCAACTCCAGGTTTATGGGCAACTTTGACCAGTGTGTGTCCATCAATGCTGGGGATGTCACGGGTGGTCCGATCACCGGAATGTTTGCCCAATTCAAATTTCAGCTCAAAATGCCATCATCATCATTTCCACCTTTACACCTGGCAATAGTAAGTCATAGCTACATGTCAGCTGGATAGTTTGCTATGTTTGTATGGACTCGTACAACTGTTATGTATGGACTCTATCCAATGTTCCCTCTAAGTTTTGCTGGTTCGTGTGCAAAACCAAGCAGATGTGTGCAAAGTTTTACAGCAACAATTTTTTGTATGCAAAATGTTACATCCCACAAACACACACACTGAAATTATATATAACGAACTTAAGTGCAAAAAAATTATATAAATAAAAAGGGACTATAATTAAAAAATTATAATCGGAAATATCCCAAGAGTTCAATCAAAGCCTTATTTATTTCTATTATTTATCCTGTCTTTGGGTCAATCAACTAAATTCCAACACAACCAAATTTGCTGCGCGGTTGCTCAAAACTGCTGCGCGGCGTCTGTGAGATAGCTGCGCGGCTGCGCAGCCTCGCAGCTTAAAGGGACCATTAACTCTATTTGTATTCTGTATGGACTCTATCTGTAATCTGTATGGACTCTATGTGTATTGTGTATGGACTCTTTCTGTATTCAAATAAAATGAATTAAATTCCAAGTATACAAACATAACATTTTGTCTTAAAATGGTTTTAATATCATCCCCTTCAGATGAACCAGGAGGCAGGTTTGCCCAACATTTTGTGGCATGTCTGTTTGCCGTCTGCTTGCACTCAGGTTGATGTCGAGGAAATCGGAAGAAGACTTGCAGGTTTTTTGTTGTTGTTTGTTTGTTTGTTTGTTTGTTTGTTTGTTTGTATGTTTTTTGTGTCGTTGTTTTTTTGTGTGTGTTTTTTTTTTTTTGTAAGTTTTATTCACGAGATTCAATATCTAGTAACAGGAAGTGTTTTAATTGGTAATCTACCTGAAAGATGGACAGCTAAATAAATTGAATTTAATGTAAATATCTTCACAACAAAAATAATTTTATATATTTAAAAGTTTTTGATAAAGTGCCGTTTATCGACCTATTTTTTAGAATGTATGTGATTGAAGGGTGGTTTGAAAGTGGTGTTAAAGAAGTTTGATAGCTGAGTTAGGAACTTTTGGGAGCATTTTTAAACTTAAATAAAATATGTTTATATATTGTCGTTGTAAGATTAGAGAATTTAATCTCGTATTTAATTAAATGGCTCGTTGTCAAACCGTAGGTAACAGAAGACGATACCATAAACTAAATACAATAATAAAGAAACGATACCCAAACTAGGGCTATTTAAAATTTAATAATTTTTAATAGTGTTATGGTGGACTAGCGGATGGGACCGTCCTAATAGCCAACTAGGGCAAATAGCGCACATGCGCAGAGAGACTGTAGTCAGAGAGTGGGTGGAATTGAACAGTGTGTTCCTCCAGACGCAGGCAGGAAGTCAACAATATTTTATGTTTAATGTTTATTATTGGAACTAAAACTATAGAAAACATAGCAAATGGTGGCCAGTATCTACTACACAGTATGATGGTCAGTATCAACAACCCAGTACAACCCAGAATTGACTAGTTTTAGACTGATACACACCAGGGACTTCGTAACTGAAGAAGAGGTCAAATCTGACCCAAAAGGACATAATCCAAAGGCTGATTCGGCAGAATGAGTAACTGTTAAAACTAGCAACGGGGCATAGAGCTAGTAATATGAAATTCACAACTTTCAATAGTAACGAGGAAACATTCACGGACTACTACGCTAGATATGTGATCTTCGTGTTAGCAAACAATGTGCCAAAGGAAAGCCAGGCACACATTTTCTTAACCAGCCAAACGCCAGAACTCCATAAAATGTTGTCAACGCTAGTGCAACAAAGAGACTCACCACAAAACATCAATGATTTAACCATGGGAGACTTATATCGGATAATGATGGATCACATTCACTGTCCCTAGAATGCAGTAAAGACAGAGCTAGCAGAGGCTTATGAAGCTGGAATATCCTCGGGAGTCTGGCTACCAGTACAGTTCAATCAATGGGGCACTCCCATAGTTCTAGTGAGAAAGAAGTCTATCTCAGGAAAAAAGTCACAAATTAGGGTCTGTGGGGACCATGCGAAAACTATAAATCAAGAGTTGGAAACACCCAGGCACCCAATTCCATTACCTGAAGACCTCATGAGAAAGTTAGCAGGTGGACATTATTTCTCAAAAATAGACCTAACTGATGCTTATAATCAGATCAAGCTGGCTAAAGAAACCCAAGAGAAATAACGGTGTATGGCTGCAAACACGGTTACCTTTTGGGATTACCACAGCTCCTGCATATTTCCAAGAAATCGTGGACAAACTTACGCAAGATTTGCCTGGAGTAGCAGTGTACATGGACGACATTCTAGTGAGTGGAAAGAATGAGGAAGACCATATAATCAACCTTCGCAGGTTATTACACAGACTGAATGGAAATGGAAAAATGCATTTTTGCCCAGCAATCAATTGAATATTTAGGGCATAAAGTATCAAGCAATGGCAAATTAAAAGGAGGAGACAAAGTAGATGCAGTTATATCCATGCCAGCACCCACAGATATTTCCAGTCTACGATCATTTCTTGGTCAAATGCAGTTTTACAACAAGTTCTTACCAAACCTATCAACTGTACTTGAGCCACTGTATTATTTAACTAAAAAGAACGTATTATGGAACTGGAAAACAGAACAAGAAGAAGTTGTTAGGAAAGTCAAGCAATTGCTTTCTTCTGATACAGTTCTAGCTCACTATGAGCCAACTCTAGACAATGATATAGACATAGCCTGTGACGCCTCTAATGTTGACATAGGAAGTGTTCTGTTCCACAGATATCCTGATAGCAGAGAACGCCCTATTACTAACATTTCAAAAACTCTCACAAAAACACAACACAAATATAGCCAGATTCAGAAGGAAGCACTGTCAATTATTTTTGCACAATCAAAGTTCCATCAATATCTGTATGGAAGAAATTTTGTTTTAGTAACAGACCATGAACCACTGATAAGTACATTTGGTACAGGAAAAGGAACAGCAGCACTGGCAGCAAATGGTTTATCCAGATGTACTCTTATCAGGTCAATATGACTATATCATTGAATTCCGCACTTCAACTGAACATTGCAATGCAGATGCTCTTAGTCGTCTACTCCCTGGGCCTGATGACATTTTTGATGGTGAAGAAAGTGAAGCAGACATGGATTCTGTTTGTATGATCAAACAAATCAGTTTACAGATCAGACCAACAAACCCAGGAGTCATTGATAAAGAGTCACTTAAAGATTCTACTGTGTCTACCGTAATAAGATATTGTCAAGAAGGCTGGCCGTCCTTTACAAACAAAGCGCACCTGAACAAGGATGCAGCTAATATTACAGCTTTTAAAAAATATTCAAGACTCACTCTCCGTGGAGTCGAATTGTCTATTTTATGGTTCAAGAATTGTGGTACCAAAAATACTACAATCTCTGGTTATCCAAATCCTGCATACAGGACATTTTAGAATCGAGCGGAAGAAACAGTTAGCCAGATTATCTGTATATTGCCCAGGCTTGATGCTAAAATCATGGAGAGAGATCGAACATGCCAGGCATGTGCAGAACATGCCAGGGACCCAAACAATACAAGTATCCAACCATGGATTCTGCCAGAAAAACCATGAAGTCGAGTGCATATCGACCATGCCATTAATTTTAAGGTATCACATTGGCTGGTGATGTTAAATGTTTATTCAAAGTATCCATATATCCACAAGACATCTACATCAACCAAAGCCACCATTGATCTTCTTGAGAAAGATTTTGCTCATTTCGGCTATCCTCACACCATAGTCAGTGACAATGCTACTACCTTCATCTCGGAAGAATTTCAGCATTTGTATAAAGAGAGGGGTATTGTATATCTCGCAGGTGCTCCCTATTATCCTGCTACGAATGGAGCTGCCGAACGACTGATTCAAAGTTTCAGGAGCTCGTTCACTAAAGAAATCCTCATTACCATTAAAGTAATCTCTACAAGAATTTCTGCGTCAGTATTGTAGGACACTATTGTCTAGTGGACTATCACCTAGCCAACTGCTGAACAATCGGCAAATAAGACCACTTATTGATATTCTAGTTCCCTCTCCTGCTTATCGACCACAGGGACAACATCTTAAGGTTTAGACATCCTTAATGGGACAAATATAAGTCCCAGTCAATCATTTAACCGGGAGATCCATGTTACGTCAGAATATAATGGAACAACATTTAGACCAACTTCGCCCCAGGTATGGAGCAGAAGAAGATTCAGAACCAGATTTGGATATAATGACAGGAAGTCCTTACCCAACAGCTCAGGCAGCCCTTAGTCATCAACCGTCTACACATCCAGCAACTCGAAGTCCACCTAAGAAGAAGATTAACCCTCGACATCCAGAACCTTCAGACTATGTCATACCCAGAAGATCTCAAAGACAACGTCGAGCACCATTGTTACTGGACCTATACTTGTTCGGGGAGGTGTTTAGTGGACAAGCGGATGGGACCGTCCTAATAGCCAACTAGGGCAAAAAGCGCGCATGCGCAGAGAGACTGTAGTCAGAGAGTGGGTGTAATTGAACAGTGTGTTCCGGGAGCAAGCAGGAAGTCAACATCATTGAGAACTTGTATTTATGTATGTTTATGTTGATGTTTATTGTTGGAAATGAAAACATAGAAAACATAACAATTAGGTCAATTATAATTTACAAAATAAATAAAAAAGAAATAAAGAACTACAGCTATTGACTTACAGTACAATGATGGCTTCCACCGGGTACAATGTTGAGGAAGATACAAATAATATAATGTTGAAAAAGGTACTATGTGGGAAAAAGGGATGTACACACAAAGAAAGTAAGAATAAATATACAAAAATCTTCGTCTCGTAATGACATCGCAAATATTTCTGCCATAATAGTGATAGCCAAATATCTGTCTAGGCATATATATATATATATATATATATATATATATATATATATATATATATATATATATATAATATATATTATATGTAAGAATAAATATACAAAAATCTTCGTCTCGTAATGACATCGCAAATATTTCTGCCATAATAGTGATAGCCAAATATCTGTCTAGGCATATATATATATATATATATATAATATATAATTTAGATTGTTTCAGAGACATTTCTAGAACGGGCTTACACATTGTATTCCTTTCCTGATAAGTCTCGATTATCCGACAGAACTCTAATAATAGACGCTATCGATTTCATTTATTGGTAAACAAGGTCTAGGGAGACTACTTTTAGTTAGCCACTTCTGAGCTTGGGGTCAGCTAAAGTTCATTCACGGGGGAAGATGACGTTAATTATATATTTATATACATAAATATGTGTGAAGTAATTTAAAAGTTAAACAGCATTGCACATTTATAGACAACTCATTAAGATAAAGATGTTTTCTATATTCCCTAAAGGTAATCTCTGTTATAGATATAAGCAAAATTATATCTCTATCATATCTACAGGTAATGTGGGTGCAGAGTTAAAAGAGACTTATTTATACCAACCGAAAACTCCAACAGAAGACAAGTGTTTCATTATTGCAGTGTAAGGGCTTTATTATTTTATCACAAAAAATCTTCTCGAATATATGCCTTAAACCAGGGGTGTCAAACTCAATCGCTCAGCGGGCTAAAACTCAAATAACACATTAGGTTGAGGGCTCAACAGGATGAACATTCAATAAGAGGAAATTTAAACCTTTTTTAAACATTAATATAAATTAAAACAGGAAAATTATTTATATAATAAAATTCATTGGCATACCCATTTTTGCACTTATGCCAATTTGTCGTAGCTGGATGTTTGACATCTTTTTTTTTATTTTGCAACAAGTTCGTATATTTTTAGAGTGATATTCTGTTTCATTCAGATTCTCATGATGGACTGAGAGTGTTCATCTTTGAGACGACTCCTGTGATATTTTGTTAATCTTCATCACACAAAACAGATTTTATTGTGCTGCTTCTTTATGTCAAGCCTTGAGTTTAACACATATGCCTTAAACAGATTGCATTAATTCTACCCATTTGCCGTTACAATAACTCTTCAGCTATACCTGTCTCTGTCCCATAGTTATATGTGTATACATATCGTAACCACAACCCATCTTCATAATGTGCCATTGGTTCGTCCGTCATTAGATGCTCGTATAGATCAACTAAATCGACCGAAACTTAGACTTCGAGAACCTTACTTTCACAAGCTTTCATTTATTGATTTAAAAAAAGATAAGTGCTGCCCAGCAATGAGAGGATGAGTGACGTAAGGATACAAACATTTCTTTGTTCAAACTTCATGGAATCCAGAATATTGGGAATTAGATGTCTATAAAAGTCATAAGAGTTTTCAAGATATACAACGCAAATGAACTGAATGTCATTAGTATCGTATAATCATTTCGAGACTTATTTTGGAGGGTCATGGAAGTGCAAAGAAAATATACGCGACCCTCCTGTCCCAACGGAGGGTCATGGAGGCGTGTTCTTGTGGGATGCATAAACTTTGATTGTTAAGTATTCTTGTTTTATAATTGAATAATTTAAACTAGTGATAATTTAATGTTTATATATATTTAGGTGTTCTCATTCTTGGGTTGTAATTCACTAATCATAAGGGGGTGTTTTTATTTTTTTCATTTTGGAAATAATTGTCTTGCACTAGTTGATAATTGAAATTTTATTTAGGTTCATTGAGTGGTTCTCAACCTTGGCTTAGGGGTCACAAACGATTTCATAAATTGTTGTTGTTGTATTTTTTTTTACACCCAACAAGAACACACATTTAAAAATCCATATTATACCTGCACATATCAAGACAATACAAATTATTAAAAACACTCGAAAAAGGGAGATTGTTTATTAAAATTATATTTAAAATTTATCAATTATCACCCCTTAATTTAGCCTCCTTGACCTCCCATGAGCTTTTAATATGGACAAAGGGTCACCCATATTTTCTTTGCGTCTTCATGACCCTCCAAAATACGGCTTGACATGAATATACTATACTACTGATGTCTATGTCATATATTTAATACGATTTTTTCTATGTTTTGAAGGGCAGTATTTAGTCTGCTTGGCCTTTGTTGTATTACGGGCACCATTCTGGATGTTTTTAAAAATGAAGTCACAAGCAAGGATTCTCAAATTAGCAAATCAAGCATTACACATGATCCTAATCCTGAGGCTGAAATGAGCAAGGATGATGATGACACTGACGTGATGTCAAGTAAACCTGTGGTCAATGGCGTCAAAGTTATTCTAGACAGAGCACTTGGTCAACGCAACTTTGTTGGGCACAGGGCATCTTTGGCAGGTAAGGAATGACTCACATCTGTTCCAGGCAAGGTATACTTCATTTTCTTCATAAGTCTTAGTTATCAATAGTTCACGCCTTTGACGGGTGAGAAATGTTCGCATATTTCAAACTACCTTAACATTTAAGTTATGACGTCAACTCTACTTAATAAATATAATAAAACAATAAAGAAAAGAAAGATAAAAGATATAGGGAGGGGGGAGGTTCCTTTGACTTGGTATCAAATGGTATCTCAGTGCACCTTTTCGACGTTAGACAGTGATTATTCTATCTAATGTACCATTATGATATGTCAGTGATTTTTCTATCTATTTTACCATTATGACATGGAGCAGCGATTATTCTATCTAATATACCTTTATGACTTGGGACTGTCCATTATTCTATCTAATATACCAATATAATAACGGGCAGTGATTATTTTATCTAATGTACCATTATGACATTGGACAGTGATTATTCTATGTTATGTACCATTATGACATAAGACAGAAATTATTCTATCTAATGTACCATTATGACATGGGACAGCGGTTATTCTACATAAGAAATATTATGACATGGGACAGTGATTATTCTATCTAATGTACCATTATGGCATGGGACAGTGGTTATTCTACATAAGTAACATTATGACATGGGACTGCAATTATTCTATCTAATGTGCCATTATGACATAAGAGAGTGATTATTCTATCGAATGTACCATTCTGATATGGGACAGGGATTATTCTATCTATTGTAACATTATGACATGGGACAGCGATTTTTCAATGTACTGTACCATTATGACATGGGACAGTAATCATTCTAGACAATGTAGCGTATGACTTGGACAATGCTTCTTCTATTAAATGTACCATTTTGACATGGGACATTCTATCTAATGAATTAATATCACGTGGGACAGGGATTATTCTAGCCAATGTATAATTATGACGTGTCAGTGATTTTTCTATCTAATGTACCATTAACATGTTGGCTAGTGATTATTTTTTCATTATGTACGTTCAGCCACTGGATGCAGTGGTCAAGCAATTTGACATGCTGTATCACATGTTCGCAGACGATACACAACTTCATCAATCCGTGATCCCCTCTCAGTTCCCTCATCTTCTTAGTATGACGCACAAGTAAGTGGAGTCAGTTAAGCACTGGATGACCATAAACAAGCTCAAATTGAATGATGAAAAGACTGCGCTGATCCCCATTGCCACTGCTCATAAGCAAAAATCTGTAAAAAAAAAAGTGCTATCACGCATGGGCTACTGCAATGCTCTCATGGTGGGTCTTCCAGCTACGCTCCTGGATAAAATTTAAAAAGTACAGAATAATGTGGCTCACATTGTTTTTCGCAAACGCATTACTCTCTTAGGTATGCAGACTGAGTTTGCTCAAACATTGAGAAACCTGGGTGTCTACTTAGACAGAAAACTATCTATGGAAAATCACATTAACATTATTTGCCAGGCGATTTTTCTAGAGCTGCGCAGATTTAGTCATATCAGAACTTTCTTAACGTTTGATGCAACAAAGAGGCTGATGTCTGAATTTTTGCTATCACGCATGGGCTACTGCAATGATCTCATGGTGGGTCTCCCTGCTACGCTCCTGGATAAAATTTAAAAAGTACAGAATAATGCGGCTCACATTGTTTTTTGCAAACGCAAATTTGACTCTGCTAAAACATTTCTAAGAGAGTTTAATTGGCTGCTGGTCCGCGGTCGCATAGAGTACAAAATTGCAACTTTGTGTTACCGCCTCTTAAATTCCCTTGCGCCGTCCTATCTTAAAGCACTCATGACGCCTTATGTATCCACTAGACAGCTCCGCTCATCCGATAGTGGAAAATTATCGATACCGGGTGTTCGCCTTGAGACTTACGGAGAGCGCACTTTTGCATTTGCTGGCCCAACAATTTGGAAAGCCCTTACAGTTGCTCTCAGAAACAGCCAGACACTGGAGTCCTTTAAAACCGATTTTTTAAAAACACATCTATTTCGCAAACACCTTCTGGGGTGATGCTATCTACCATCTTTTTCCAGTTAATGTATATTGGCGTGTGTTGCTTATGGTTGAAATGGGATGAAAGACTTTGACTTGGTATGCTCGTATGTAGTTTTATATTGTTGCGTCTGTTTTTAAATTGTGGTACATTTTAGATTGCTTTTTAATTCTCTTTTTAATACGGTTGACTTTGTACCTGTTCTTCGAACTTTTTGGGACGAAGCTTGTTTTTCAAATAAACTTTATTATTATTATTCTATCTAATGTACCATTATGACATTAGACAGTTATTATTCTAGCCAATTCACCATAATTACGTGGGACGGGGATTATTCTATCTAATGTTCCAATATGACATGGAACAGCGATTATTCTATCTAATAAAAAATTATGACTAGGGACAGTAATTATTCTATCAATGTATCATTTTAACATGGGTCAGTGATTATTTTAGCCAATGTACCATTATGACGTGAGACAGCAATTATTCTATCTAATGTACCATTATGGCTTTAGACAGTGATTATTCTATCTAATGTACCATTGATACGTGGTACGGTGATTATTCTATCTAATGTATCATTAGGACGTGGGACAGCGATTATTTATTCTAGCCAATTTACAATGACAACAGTTAAATTTCAGCAGACACCAACTTTTGTTTGATTGGAAATTGTGATAAAAATCCAAATATTACATTGGGTTATAATAAAACAAGATATCTGGCGTTTGTAATCAAACAACACACATTAATTAGTGTTTACACTACTCAGAAAGTAATAATATTGATACACAAGTTTTTAAATTATTTTTTAATAGAACTTGGAGGGCAAAGGTCAATTGAGCAAGAGAGGCGAAGGTCACTTGAGCAATTTAGGCTGAGACAAGTTTCACAAGAACAGGATGCACTACGACGCGAGTCACAAGGCAATAACGCTTATAGACAACAGTCACAAGGTCTGACTGCCTTCAGCCAAGATTCACCAGATCTAAATGCACTGAGACGCGAGTCACAATTATTAAGTGCTGTTCGACGCGAGTCACAACAATCAAGTGCCCCGAGACGGGAGTCTCATACACTCGATGCTGTAAGGCGCGAGTCACTGCCACAAGGTGCCTCTAATCTAGATTCTTTAAACCAACGAGATTCCTTTGGACAAGGGACAAGGCACGATATTCATGGGCAACGTCGAGATGCTGAGAACTCTGACAATATCGCAGTCAATCAAAATGATGGACCACGGAAAATTGGTGAGATAACAAACCGCCATATTTAAGTCCAATGTGAATGGATCCATTACCTAGAGGCCAAAGGTCGGCAACCTGTTGTTGATTAAACAGTCATTTTATCAATTAATATGTTACAAAATTATATAGGAAGACAAAAACAGGGGCGGGTGTGAGAATGAAAGTAAGCATGACACCTGGAGATGGGGAGAATGAAAGTAAGCATGACACCTGGAGATGGGGAGAATGAAAGTAAGCATGACACCTGGAGATGGGGAGAATGAAAGTAAGCATGACACCTGGAGATGGGGAGAATGAAAGTAAGCATGACACCTGGAGATGGGGAGAATGAAAGTAAGCATGACACCTGGAGATGGGGAGAATGAAAGTAAGCATGACACCTGGAGATGGGGAGAATGAAAGTAAGCATGACACCTGGAGATGGGGAGAATGAAAGTAAGCATGACACCTGGAGATGGGGAGAATGAAAGTAAGCATGACACCTGGAGATGAGGAGAATGAATGTACACATGACACCTGGAGATGGGGAGAATGAATGTACACATGACACCTGGAGATTGGGAGAATGAATGTACACATGACACCTGGAGATGGGGAGAATGAATGTACACATGACACCTGAAGATGGGGAAATGAATGTACACATGAGACCCGGAGATGGGGAGAATAAATGTACACATGACACCTGGAGATGGGGAGAATAAATATACACATGACACCTGGAGATATGGAGATTAAAAGTACCCAAGACACCTGAAGGTGGGGAGAATGCATGTATACATAACACCTGGAGAGTGGAAGAATAAATGTACATATTACACCTTCAGATCGGGAAAATGAATATACACATGAAACCTGGAGTAATATTTTACTTCGGATATTACAATTTTAAAACCACGCTAAAAATAAATATTATATTTCAATTATTTATTTGCACATTTCAAGTCACAAAATAATAATTATGTCTTAGTGAAAAAAGACGCATTGATTTATTCAAAGTGACTTATGATCAAGACTTCTTTTTGTCTTTTGTTTCAAAAAAATGGTGTGGGGTCAGAGGTCGGCTTGATAAGATGACAAAAAATAGATATTGTGTTCATGTTAATGGGTTTTCCGTCTCCAGGTTTGTTAAGCAGGTTTTTCCTGGCATTCTCTTTGACCAGCAACCTGTCAGAAATTCTCAAGGCCAAGCATGCATCTGGTGATATCACATGTCTGCATGGTATTCGCGTGCTTAGCATCAGCTGGGTAATACTTGGCCATAACTACTACATGGCTCCTCAGTTCGGTAAGTTAGGACAATGTGATGGCTTGGTAATTTAGGACAATGTGTCGGCTTGGTAAGTTAGGACAATGTGAGGGTTTTGTAAGTTAGGACAATGTGATGATTTGGTAAGTTAGGACAATGTGACGGTTTTGTAAGTTAGGACAATGTGATGGTTTGATAAGTTATGGGTATGTGTCAGTTTGGTAAGTTATGGTAATGTGTTGGTTTGGTAAGTTAGGACAATGTGACGGTTTGATAAGTTAGGACAATGTGACGGCTTGGTAAGTTAGGACAATGTGACGGTTTGGTAAGTTAGAAGAATGTGACGGTTTGGTAAGTTAGGACAATGTTACTGTTCGGTGAAAATATTCACAGCCTCCTTCTCACCCAGTGACTTCAGTACATGCTGATTGAATATTGTGTGAACACAGGTAGCTCAGTAATTTCAGAATGTGACAGGTTTAATCTTATGTGAACACAAGTAGCCCAGGTAGGGCTCGGTCCCAGGTCCGGTGCTTTTCACTATGTACGTTCATCCCTTGGGTACAGTGCTCACTCATTGCCCATGACACCTGATGTCTTGCAGACGGAAACTGTACCACAAGACCTCAAAGATGTCTCCATTATCCACCTGTACAAACACAAAGGAAACCGCCAGGCATGCGAAAATCACATCAGAATTTCACTACTGTCCTTTGCGGGCAAGATCTTGGCCCGAGCCCTTCTGAACCGCCTGAATGCACATCTGGAGCTAGGTCTCCTACCCGAAACTCAATGCGGTTTCCGAAAAAAACGTGGAACCATCGATATGGTGTTTGCTGCTAGACAGCTTCAAGAGAAATGCCTGGAAAAAAATACAGACCAATATTCTACATTTATCGACTTGAATAAGGCCTTTGACAGGGTCAATAGAGGTGGCTTGTGGAAAATCATGAAGAAATACGGATTCCCAGACAAGTTCACCTACATCATCCGTCAGCTGCATGATGGTATGATGGCCCGAGTGCAGGACAACGGTCAATCATCTCAAGCATTCCACGTCACAAACGGTATAAAGCAGGGTTGTGTTCTTGCTCCCACACTCTTCAGTATTATGTATTCCGCAATGCTGTCTGATGCGTTTAAGGACTCCACCATGGGCTTGCCAATCAGGTTTCGTACTGATGGATGAGTATTTAACCTTAGGTGGCTTCAAGGTAAAACCAAGGTCAAACATAACACCATTAACGAGCTTCTGTTTGCAGACGATTGTGCCTACAACGCTCCCTCAGAAGCCGTCATGCAACACAGCGTTGATGTCTTCTCTGAGGCCTGCAATAATTTTGGCCTCACAATCAACAGAAATAAGACTGAGTTGATATATCAGCCAGCTCCCAGTAAGCCCTACGATCAACCCAACATCATTATCAGTGGACAGCGTCTCAACCCAGTGGATAAATTTACTTACTTAGGCAGCACCTTCTCTAGATCTGTCGTCATGGATGATAAATGAATGGCAGACTCGCAAAAGCTTGTGCCATATTTGGCAGGCTCCGCAGCACTGTTTGAGACAGGAGAGGTATCAGACGAGAAACAAAGCTCAAGGTCTATAGCGCAGCAGTCCTCCCGACACTGCTCTATGGATGTGAAACGTGGACAGTCTACCAGCGTCAGGCCAAGAAACTGAATCATTTTCACACTACCTGCCTCAGGAAACTCCTCGGCATCAGGTGGCAAAACAAAGTCCCCGACACCGAGGTCCTCGCTAGAGCAAACTTATCTAGTATCTTCACCACTCTGATACAGTCTCGGCTCCGTTGGACGGGACACGTAGCCCGTATGGAAGACCACCGGCTCCCGAAACAATTTTTCTTCGGAGAACTCACGACAGGCAAGCGCTCCCAAGGAGGTCAAAAAAAAACGTTGCAAAGACTCACTGAAAGCGGCACTAAAGGCCTTTAGCATAAACGCTACTCAATGGGTGCAGACAGCCCATGATAGAGCCAGGTGGAGAGCTGCTGTCAAGAAGGGGGCTAAATCCCGTGAAGCTAATAGAGTAACCACAGCTGAAACACGCAGGCTTGTCCGAAAGAGAAACATTAGGACACCGTCTGAAGCAACTATTCCATGCCCACGGTGTCAAAGATTATTCCGAGCAATGATCGGTCTAGCAAGCCACCTACGAGCTCACCGTAATCCCAACCTCCCCCTAACCGGATGAATCGATGGTCCTAGTCGACTTCGACGAACGAACAACAACTACAGTGATCAAGAAGTTTGATATGCTCTATCACATGTTAGCGGCTGATACCCGACTTTAGCAATCCGTGACCCCCTCTCAGTTCCCTCAACTTCTTAGTATGACACAGAAGACAGTGGAGTCAATTAAGCACTGGATGACCATAAACAAGCTCAAATTGAACGATAAAAAGACCGAGCTGATCCCCATTACTACCGCTCAAAAGCTAAAATCTGTAAATAACACACTATCCCTTTTATCTCTTAGGTGTACAGATAGGGTTTTCTCAAACAGTGCGAAACCTGGGCGTCTACTTAGACAGAAAACTATCTATGGAAAATCACATTAACATTATTTGCCAGGCGATTTTTCTAGAGCTGCGCAGATTTAGTCAAGACAGACCTTTCTTAACGTTTGATGCAACAAAGAGGCTTATGTCTGAATTTTTGCTATCACGCATGGGCTACTGCAATGCTCTCGTGGTGGGTGTTCCAGCTACGCTCCTGGGTAAAATTTAAAAAGTACAGAATAATGCGGCTCGCATTGTTTTTTGCAAACGAAAATGTGACTCTGCTAAAACACTTCTAAGAGAGTTTAATTGGCTGCCGGTCCGCGGTCGCATAGAGTACAAGATTGCAACTCTGTGATACCGCTGCTTGCATGATCTGGCGCTATCCTATCTCACAGCGCTCATGAAGCCTTATGTACCCATTGACAACTCTGCTCATCCGATAGTGGCAAACTCTCGATACCACGTGTTTGCCTTGAGACCTACGGAAAGCGCACTTTAGCATTTGCTGGGCCAACAATTTGGAACGCCCTTCCAGTTGCTCTCAGAAACAGCCGGACACTGGAGTCCGTTAAAACCGATTTAAAAACACATCTATTTCGCAAACACCTTCTGGGGTGATGCTATCTGCCATCTTTTTTCCAATTAATGTATATTGGCTTGTGTTGCTTATGATTGAAATGGGATGAAAGACTTAGAATGGGTATTCTCGTATGTAGTTTTTAATGTTGCGTTTTGTATTTAAATGTGGTAAATTATGGATTTTTTCAATTCTGCTTAAAATGGATGACTTTGTACCAAGCTTCGAGCCTTTGGTGATGAAGCATGATTTTCAAATAAGCTTTATTATTATTATTAATTTCAGAATGTGACTGGTTTGTGTTTAAGTGAATACTTATATCAAAATAACTATAGTATCTGATGTTTTTGTTGTTGTTTTTTTTTTAAATTAATTTTTATTAATCCAGGTAACACATTAACCTTTGTGGACATGACAAAATGGTGGACCATACAAGTCATATTCAATGGAACGTTTTCAGTGGACACTTTCTTCTTGCTAAGGTAAATTTGAAAGGAACTATAACCCCTTTCCTTGGCTGTTAGACTGGATGGTGTGCTGGTGATTTTGAAGTTCATCATAGCAGTAAACACACTTCCTTATGATCATAACCATGTCGTATGCTTGATGTTGACATTTGTAATGGCTCGCTATTGCTTGATGTTGACATTTGTAATGGCTCGATATTTAACAGGTGAACATTATGGTGGTGGTGGGTTTTTTTTAAATAATGTTGTGGGAAACATTATTTTAAACAACACTTTTAAAATAATAAAACTGAGTTCCATAATACAAAGATGTGGGCCCTAATGGCTCTGCAGATAATTTAATTACTCATCTTGTCTTGTGTTTGGCGTTTTGATCTTGTCGCCTTCATGGTTTATCTAATTTTGCTCTGGCTCTGATATCAAAAAGCTCCAGTTTGCATGTTATTGTATTGAAAGTGAAACATGACTTTTACAAAACCTCAAATGACCAGTTTTTTAAAGAAAACCTTTTGTTCCATAATGCATGTTTTATAAGCTCTTTTTATCACATTTAATTAACTTTATATATACAGAGAGATTATCCGTATAAAAAAACAAGAAAACACTTAAAATGTAATGAATTGATGAGTTTGATTTTCTCTCTCCAAATCGAGAGGATAATGCCAGAATATATATATATATATATATATAGTTATAAAGGTGCTGATTCGTGAACTGATGTTCCCTGAAGATGCCGTCTTAACATCTCACACAGAAGAAGGTCTTCAGGGGTTGGTTAATCATCTATCACACGCTTGTAAAGAGTTTGGACTGTCAATTATAAATCTACAGAAAACACATGGCATGATGCAAGAAGCGCCGTCCCCTCAAATCATATCTATTCAGGGCCATAATCTTTCGGTTGATGAGCATTTCACATACCGTGGATCCAATATTTCTAGTTCTCTCTCCGTTGATGAGGAGATAAATATCAGGATTGCAAGAGCAGCATCAACTATGGCTAAACTGAATAAGCGGGTGTGGAATAATCTCAATCTACCTGATAAAACAAAAATAAGTGTCTATAAGGCATGTGTGCTTAGTACGCTCCTATATGGCAGCGAAGTGTGGACCACATATATCAGCCATGAGAAGGCACTCAACAGCTTCCATCAAAGATTCTGCGTCGCATTTTACGCATTCGATGGCAGGACAAGGTTCCTAAGACGGAGGCCTTGGAACGTGCACAAATGTTTAGCATATGCTCCGCTCTTAGCTAGAGGCGTCTTCGCTGGTTAGGTCATGTACGGAGAATGGAGGAAGGACGTATCCCAAAGATTCTGCTGTATGGAGAGTTGGCAGAGGGGACAAGACATATTGGTCATGTACGGAGAATGAAACGAAGCCCCTGCAAAAAAAAAGAACAATATGGAAGTAAAAATCTTACCAGAAATCAATATTCTCCTGTGAGAAATGCAGTCGAGATTGTCATTCTAGGATTGGCCTAGTGAGCCACTTGTCCAAGTGTAGGACTACATAGCTATTCCATCGTCTAGCGAAGACGGAAGGATGATATATATATATATTTATATTTATATGATATTAATAGATTATTGTGAAATTGTTAACAAGTACCCTGTTATATATGAAGAGTATCCCATTTTCGTCTATTGATTATTACTTAATTTTATTTTTATTTATTCATTGATTTCTTTTGGAAAGGATGGTTGGGGCATACGCTGTTAAACAGATTTGAACTTTTTAGTTTACATGAGATGAGATCTCCTCTTAGGTTATATGAAAATGAGTTCGAAAAGAGAGAAAATGGTATGTCTGTTGGTTTAACATCTGAATGTTGTTGTTTTTTTAATATTTTTTTTTATCGTCAGTGGTTGTCTCGTTTCCTTCCTGTTCCTTCGAGAAGTCAACAAATCAGGTGGCCTCAAAGCAACACAAGTCATTATGTATTACACTCACAGGTTGCTCAGGTAAGACAAAGGTTATGCTCACAGGTTACTCAGGTAAGACAATGTTATGCTCACAGGTTACTCGGGTAAGGCAAATGTTATGCTCATAGGTTACTTGGGCAAGAAATGTGTTTTACTCAAAGAATACTCCGGTAGGGCAGGTATTAAACTTACAGGTTACACCGGTAAATCAGAAGGTGTAAATTCTTATATTGACCGGCTACTCAGATATCCAAGTTTCACCTCCGTATGTCTTTTACGCTTATCACTCTGTATGCCCCTTAAACGTATCACTCTGTATGCCCTTTACACTGATCACTCTGTATGCCCTTTACACTGATCACTCTGTATGCCCTTTACACTGATCACTCTGTATACCCTTTATACTTATCACATTGTATGCTCTTTACACTTATCACTATGTATGCCCTTTATACGTATCACTCTGCATGCCCTTTACTCTTATCACGCTGTTTCCCTTTACACCTATCACTCTGTATGCCCTTTACAATTATCTCTCTGTATAAATTCATTCTTACAACCATATGTCCTTCAGACTAACCCCGCTCTATGCACTTGCCATCCTGTTCTACACTGGCATCACACCTTATTTAGAGACTGGACCATTCGCAAGACCAAACCATGACAGGGATGTTGTCTGCAGAGATGTTTGGTGGTGGAACTTACTCTATATCAGCAACTTCATTAACGATGGAACATTTGTAAGTAAAGAGTACTTTAATGAAACATATGTAAGTAAAGAGTACTTTAAAGGAATATTAATAAGTAAAGAGAACACCAATGGAACATTTCTAAGTAAAAAGTACTTCAATGGAACATTTGTAAGTAAAGTGTACTTCGATGGAACATTTGTTAGTAAAGAGTGCTTCAACGGAATATTAATAAGTAAAGAGTACTTCAATAGAATATTTGTAAGTAAATAGTACTTCATTGGAATGTTTTTTAAGTGAAGAGTAGTTCAATGGAATATTTCTAAGTAAAGAGTACTGCCATTAAGTCACTGTAACATCATTATTGAAATAGTTAACATCTATCACATAGTTTCCTTATGTAACTTTTATGTATTTTATATATTATAGAATAGTATACATATTTTTTACTCGCACATGACTTAAGTCACATCTTTATGTCACTTGTAATGGATATCAGTCACATGGGTAAATAATATATGTCAATCGTACATGACAACAATGTCACATTATATTCTTCCAGTGCATCCAGTGGTCCTGGTACCTCCCTAACGACATGCAGTTTTATTTCCTGGCTCCACTGGTTCTCATACCTATAGCCCTGGGGTAAGCCTGCGTGAGCCCTTAATAAAAAAAAATTGTTTTTTGTATGTTTGGGTGAGTTATATGGTTGTACACTTTACCCGATTTGTGTACACCTGTTCAAGATGTTTTTCCTCATATTCAAGATATTTGTATATCTGATCAACATGTTTGTACAACTGAACAACGTGTTTGTATACCTGACCAAGATGTTTCTAGATACGACAAAGATGTTTGTACACCTGACCAGTTTTTTGTTTACATCTGACCAAGATGTTTGTACATTGTTTCTTGACATGACCAGGGTGTTTAAGAACAAGGTTTTTTCTACCTGGCATCACTAAGTAGAACATTAAGTCATTATACATGCTTGTAAAGAGAGCTAAGTCATTAAACCCGCCTGGGTAGAGAGCTAAGTCATTATACCCGCCTGGGTAGAGCGCTAATTGATTATACCCGCCTGGATAGAGAGCTAAGTCATTATACCCGCCTGGGAAGAGAGTTGAGTGATTATACCGTCTGGGTAGAGAGTTAAGACATTAGACCCGTCTGGGTAGAGAGGTAAGACATCAGACCCACCTGGGTAGAGAGCTAAGTGATTACACCCGCCTGGGTAAAAATCTAAGTCATTACACCGGCCTGGATAGAGAGCTAAGTCATTATACCCGCCTGGGTAGAGAGCTAAGCCTGGGTAGAAAGATAAGTCCTTATACCCGAGATTTTAAAAGCATTCTTTGTTGTTTGTTTAAAAAACTATATTTTCCTCAATAATAATAAGTTACAGATTAAAATTTAATACTATGCAGATTTTTTTTTTTCGAATTTTTCAAAGAGGAGTTTAAACGCAGAAATTATGTGTTTATATTTTGTTGGTTTTTTTTTAATCGTAAAAACTCTTTAAATGTATTACGAAAAGGAATTTACCTGCAGAAAATATTTTTCAAAATTAAAAAAATTAATTAAACATATTAAAGTTTTTTTTCTACGTTTAAATCTAATCCTTTGGATTCATAGAGTGCCTTGAAACTACCTCTCTGCCTAGGCTTTCTTTTAGTCAAGAATGTTTGACCTTGAATGTGTCCATTTAATGTAGCAACTCACACAAATGGGTTGTGTCTTTCCATCTGCTTTAGCGTAACCTCACTCCAACCGTCACTTAAATCTGTATTTCCCATCGCCCCTTGTCTGATCTGCAGCTATCAGTACCTCGGACTGCTAGTTGCTCTCCTCCAGTTGGCCTGTCATTTAGCCTCCTTCACAGTATTGGAAGAAAAATACAACGCCAGTTTATTCAGGTCTGTACCGTCATCGGGAAAAAATCACTATAACTTCACAGGGAAATCTCAGTAAAACGTGCGAGGGAAATCCCACTATAACTTGACAGCGAAGTCTCACTATTACGTGCCAGTGAAACCTCACCATAACTTCACAGGGAAATGTCAGGATAACGTTACAGTGAAAACTCACTATTACGTGACAGTGCAACCTCACTATAACTTGACAGTGAAAACTCACTATAACGTGACAGTGCAACCTCACTATAACTTGACAGTGAAAACTCACTATTACGTGACAGGGCAATCTCACTATAACGTGACAGAGAAACCTCACTATAACGCGATAGATATGGTTCATGCAATTGTATCTCGTTGATAGATGATTCTTGCTAATACAAGGATTTACAATATTGTTATGTAACCTATTTTCCTTGCTCTAAATGCGATTGTTTAACACCATTTGCATCTTCTTTGTATTCTTTAGAAACCCTGGCAATTATTTAGCCAAAATCTACATCAAACCATGGACTCGTGTTGGCCCCTATGCTTTAGGACTCATCCTTGGTTTCATGCTGTTCAAGACAAGAAGTCAAGCCAGGCTTCATAAGGTCACTCATTGGTCACTTGCAAACCAATGCCATAGAAAGATAGGAATGTCTTTAAATGAGAAGTCATGAGATGGGGATGTCAGATGGGGATGTCAGATGGGGATGGCAGATGGGGATTCGTGAGATGGGGATGTCAGATGGGGATGTCAGATGGGGACTCATGAGATGGGGATGTCAGATGGGGATGTCAGATGGGGATGTCAGATGGGGATGTCAGATGGGGATGTGAGAGGGGGGTGTGCGAGGGGGGTACGTGAGATGGGGATGAGGGGGATGTCAGACGGGGATGTGAGATGGGGATGTCAGAGGGGGATGTCAGATGGGGATTCATGAGATGGGGATTCATGGGATGGGGATGTCAGATGGGGATTCATGAGATGGGGATGTCAGATGGGGATGTCAGATGGGGATGTCAGATGGGGATGTCAGATGAGGATTCATGAGATGGGGATGTCAGATGGGGATGTCCGATGGGGATGTCCGATGGGGATGTCCGATGGGGATTCATGAGATAGGGATGTCAGATGGGGATGTCATGAGATGGGGATGTCATGCGATGGGGATATCAAATAAGGCTGTCACGAGTTCAAGATGTCTTCAGATTGGGATGTTATGTGATCTTTTTTCATGAGAACGGAATGTCTTTAGATGGTGATATTAGATGGGATGTCTTTAGAGGATGATATTAGATGAGATGTCTTTAGAGAGTGATATTAGATGGGATGTGTTTAGAGGGTGATATTAGATGGGATGTCTTTAGAGGGTGATATTAGATGAGATGTCTTTAGAGGATGATATTAGATGGGATGTCTTTAAAGGGTGATATTAGATGGGATGTCTTTAGAGGGTGATATTAGATGGGATGTCTTTATAGGATGATATTAGATGGGATGTCTTTAAAGGATGATATTAGATGAGATGTCTTTAGAGGGTGATATTAGATGGGATGTCTTTAGAGGGTGATATTAGATGGGATGTCTTTAGAGGGTGATATTAGATGGGATGTCTTTATAGGATGATATTAGATGGGTTGTCTTTAAAGGATGATATTAGATGAGATGTCTTTAAAGGGTGATATTAGATGGGATGTCTTTAGATGGTGATATTAGATGGGATGTCTTTAGAGGGTGATATTAGATGGGATGTCTTTATAGGATGATATTAGATGGGATGTCTTTAAAGGATGATATTAGATGAGATGTCTTTAGAGGATGATATTAGATAGGATGTCTTTAGAGGGTGATATTAGATGGGATGTCTTTAGAGGATGATATTAGATGGGATATCTTTAGAGGGTGATATTAGATGGGATGTCTTTAGAGGATGATATTAGATGGGATGTCTTTAAATGGTGATATTAGATGGGATGTCTTTAGAGGGTGATATTAGATGGGATATCTTTAGAGGGTGATTTCTTTAGAGGGTGATATTAGATGGGATGTCTTTAGAGGATGATATTAGATGGGATGTCTTTAAATGGTGATATTAGATGGGATGTCTTTAGAGGGTGATATTAGATGGGATATCTTTAGAGGGTGATATTAGATGGGATGTCTTTAGAGGATGATATTAGATGGGATGTCTTTAGATGGTGATATTAGATGGGATGTTTTTAGAGGATAATATTAGATTTGACGTCTTTAGAGGATGATATTAGATGGGATGTCTTTAAATGGTGATATTAGATGGGATGTCTTTAGAGGGTGATATTAGATGGGATGTCTTTAGAGGGTGATATTAGATGGGATGTCTTTAGATGGTGATATTAGATGGGATGTCTTTAGAGGGTGATATTAGATGGGATGTCTTTAGAGGGTGATATTAGATGGGATGTCTTTAGAGGGTGATATTAGATGGGATGTCTTTAGAGGGTGATATTAGATGGGATGTCTTTAGAGGGTGATATTAGATGAGATGTCTTTAGAGGGTGATATTAGATGGGATATCTTTAGAGGATGATATTAGATGGGATGTCATTAGATGAGGTTGTCCTATGATTGAAATTTTATGAGATGAGGATGTCATCAGATACGGATGTCATAACATTGGGATGTCATAAGATGTGATGTCATGAGATAGGGATGTCATAAGATGGGATATCATGAGACAGGATGTCGTCATGAGATAGGATATCATGAAATAAGATGTCATGAGATAAGATGTTATGAGATAGGATGTCATGAGATAGGATGTCATGAGATCGTGCATAGGACAGTGCACGTAAAGTACCCAAAAGTTGCATGTCCTGAAAGTACATAACAGTTGTATGTCCTGAATGTACACAACAGCTGTAAGTCCTGAACGTACACAACAGTTGTATGTCCTGAAATACACAACAATTGTACCACTAGGTACTGAAAGTACCCACACAACATTTGTATGTCCTGTTCGCCATGTATATTAATTGTTATTTATGTTCTGTTCGCCATGTCTATTCTTTGTTACTTCTGGTTTCAACTCTAAATGTTTACAGAGATTTTGCGTTTTAAATGGTCAAACTAAAATGCTTCACTTTCCATGCAAATACTAGTAACATTTGGGTGGATGATATCCATTAACTTTCCATGCAGATACTGGTAACATTAGGGTGGATGATATCCATTAACTTTTAAAGCAGATACTGGTGACATTTGAGTGGATGATATCCATTAACTTTCCATGCAGATACTGGTAACATTAGTGTGGATGATATCTATTAACATTCCATGCAGATACTGGTAACATTTGGGTGGATGATATCCATTAACTCTCCATGCAGATACTGGTAACATTAGGGTGGATGATATCCATTAACTTTTAAAGCAGATACTGGTGACATTTGAGTGGATGATATCCATTAACTTTCCATGCAGATACTGGTAACATTAGGGTGGATGATATCCATTAACTTTCCATGCAGATACTGGTAACATTAGGGTGGATGATATCCATTAACTTTTAAAGCAGATACTGGTGACATTTGAGTGGATGATATCCATTAACTTTCCATGCAGATACTGGTAACATTAGGGTGGATGATATCCATTAACTTTTAAAGCAGATACTGGTGACATTTGAGTGGATGATATCCATTAACTTTCCATGCAGATACTGGTAACATTAGGGTGGATGATATCCATTAAATTTTCATGCAGATACTGGTAACATTTGGGTGGATGATATCCATTAACTTTCCATGCAGATACTGGTAACATTTGGGTGGATGATATCCATTGGTGGTGCACTGGCCCTTGTCTATGTCACCTACGACTACACGAAAAATGGCGTGACGTCACTGTCATGGACTGACAACTCCATTAATGCCTATGAGATCCTCAGGAGTCCGATGTGGGCCATATGTATTGGCTGGGTGATCTTTGCCTGTGCCTCAGGCTACGGAGGTAACAGATGTTGTCCCCTCCATGGCCATACGTGTTGGTTGGGTATTGTTGTTCCAAGCTATGGAGATCATTTATGTGGTCCTGTGTTAATCGTATATGTACGCTGGTTGGTGTTTGCCTGTGATGTGGGTCATGGAGTAAATTCCAGTGGTGCAGTTATGATTTTTTTTTTATGCTGTTGCAGGTGTCTTTCTCCAAAGTTGTGATAAAAAAATCATTCAGATCGCCGTTCATGTGTTAGGTGATCGCAAAATAAAGTGATCCTGTTTGTATAACATATAGACCAGCATTGAGTTAGTGCTAAACACAGCTAATGAACATGCCCCATTGGCATATAAAACCCACATCTTATAAACATGTCACATTGGCATAAAAAACACACATCTAATAAACATGTCACATTGGCATATAAATTCCCACAGCTAATAAACACGCCCCATTGACATATAAAAACACAGCTAATAAACATGCCCCACTAGCATATAAAACATATTAATTTCAATCCGTCTTCACAAAAATTTCCATCAGTCATACCATCCCTAAAACCATCACCTGGTACAATAGGCCCCCTCAACATAACTGAAACAGGAGTAGAAAAACTTCTCCAAAACCTGAAACCCAATAAAGCGCCCGGACCTGACTGTATCCCGAACATTGTCCTGAAGACCCTGGCTGACAACATTGCCCCAACCATGACCCACATTTTCCAAAAGCCGCTTGGCTCCAGCAAACTCCCGCTAGACTGGCTTGATGCAAATATCAATAGTGCCTACAAGAAAGGTGACAGTCATATCCTAGCAAACTACCGCCCAATATCCCTGACCTCCGTCCCATGCAAAATCCTAGAACCTAATCTGTCACCACATCTTGGCCCACCTTGAACACTACAACATCTTGACCAACCTAAACCACGGTTTCCGCTCTGGATTCTCAACAGAAACTCAATTAATCATCACCACCAATGAACTCCTTGCCTCCTATGACAAAGGTAAACAGATCGACATTCTCAACTTCTCCATGGCCTTCGACACTGTTCCACACAGCCTTGTTCTACATAAGCTCCACCACTACGGCATTACCGGCAACCTTCACTCCTTGCTCTAAACATTCCTAACACAGCGTAGCATGGAAGTAGGTGTAGACGGCGATCAATCAGGGAAAGCCACCGTAGACTCAGGAGTTCCTCAAGGCACAGTGCTGCGCCTCCTTCTCTTTCTCTGTCACATTAACGACCTCCCTGATACTGTAAAATCTCAAGTTAGGTTGTTTGCAGATGACTATGTTGTCTACAGAGAGATTAACGGCTACGATGACCACAACCACCTCCAAGCAGATTTGAAGTGCCTTATGAAATGGGCGGAAAAATGGGATATGAAATTTAAAGAAACCAAATGCTACACAAAAAGCATCTCAAGAAAAAAAAAGCATCAACCTATATGTACTCCTTAAAGAAAACCTTTCTCCAACAAGTATCAAATAATCCAAACCTTGAAATTCTCTTTTCAAATAATCTAAAATGGTCACCCCATATAAATAAAATTTCAAAAAAAGCCAACTCCACACTAAGTTTCACTGGAAAAAATCAGCGCCACTGCACAACATCCCACAAACGAAATGCGTATCTCGCACTCGTCAGTCTACTTCTAGAATATGGTGTGATCATCTGGGACCCACAACTAAAGCATGACGTGGACAAGTTATAGCAAATCCAACGTAACGCGGTGCGCTTCATTGTACGTGACTACAAATCCACCACTTCTGGCTTCGTCACTGGCCTCAAAAAAAGATTTGACACTCCCCCCCCCCCTTTTTAAAGACAGACGAGAGGTGCTCAGCCTGACATTCTTATATAAGTGGTCATGGGGCTGATGCCGGCCATCCCAGCAGGCACGTACCTCACCCCAAAGAAGCCGGTCACTGGCCTCAAAAAAAGATTTGACACTCCCCCCCCCCCTTTTTAAAGACAGACGAGAGGTGCTCAGCCTGATATTCTTATATAAGTGGTCATGGGGCTGATGCCGGCCATCCCAGCAGGCACGTACCTCACCCCAAAGAAGCCGGGTAGACTGATCAGAGCCAAACGCTCACTGAACACTGATTTCACCGCCGACAACCCCATAAACAATTACACCCGAAACATCAGCAAATGCTTCACTGTGCCCCGGTTAACACAGTGCAGTATGAACAATCATTCTTCCCACGCACAATAATTGCTTGGAACCACCTGGAACTTGCTGCTGTGGGTTCGACATCGGTCGAAAGCTTCAAGGCTGCCCTGGCATCAGCTAGGAGCTGTTAGATTAGCAACATCGATACCCCAACCGTTGCGCAGATGTCAGTTTATGGATACAGCAAAGAACACTACCAGAACCAGAAAACACACATCTAATAAACATATCACATTGGCATATAAAACACACATCTAATAAACATGCCCCATTACCATATAAAACACACATCTAATAAACATGCCCCATTACCATATAAAACACACATCTAATAAACATGCCCCATTACCATATAAAACACACATCTAATAAACATGCCCCATTACCATATAAAACACACATCTAATAAACATGCCCCATTAGCGTATGCTAAGCCACCGGTGTGCAGTGACGTATCAGGAAAAAAAATGGAAGGTGGGTGGGGGGAGGGGTGTAGCAAAATTGGCATTCTTAAATGTGCGTCACTTGAGTTCACGTTTTTGTCAAGTAACTTCAGTCGATGGGAAGTTCACGCATTGCTGTCGCCAATGTTTGGCCGGCTATATCCACCCTCACTGCCAACCACGCGCACACCCCACCAACCTCACGCACACCCCACCAACCTCGCGATGTATGCCACGCAGCGGGTCGCCTAGTAACATTCTATTGAATATCCTTATGTATCATATCATGGACCCTGACAAAAACAGCAGAAAACCTATTAAACACATGGGAGAGGAAAGTTCTCAGGAAAATATATCGACCAACAAAGGATGAATATGGATGGAGAATACGAACCAACCATGAATTGTACAGTCTATATCAGGATCCCACGATAGTAGCAGAAGTAAAAAAAAAATTTAAAAGGTTAGGCTGCGCTGTGCAGGACACACAGAGAGAGCAGGACACACAGAGAGAGCAGGACACACAGAGAGAGCAGGACACACAGAGAGAGCAGGACACACAGAGAGAGCAGGACACACAGAGGAACATGTCTCAAGGGCAGACCTAGGCTTAGATGGATGGATGATGTGGAAAAAGATCTACAACAACAGGGAATCCCAACATGGAAAAGAAAAGCATTAGTTAGGTCTAAGCGGAAGGAAGTAGTGAGGCAGGCCAAAGCCCTACATTTGCTGTAGTGTCACAGGGATGGATGATTTTAGATCCCATTATAAATTCCGGTCCCGTTGAACAGTGTATAACGTTCGGGAACATTCTAGAATAAATTTAATGTCCTCGAAACGTGTAAAAAATTACGTTTCTACGTATATATTTTTCGAAAAAAGAAATTATACAACTTAATTCACTAATATCTCTTGTAATATGACATCCTTACATCTTCATAAGGCAATGGAGTAGCACTGCAACGAATGGCTAACTAGTCCAATCCTGGAATGGCAATCTTGACTGCATCTCTGGTTAGATTTGGCCTTCCCTGATGTTCTTTTTGTTACAAAAGCTTTGTTTCGCGCATCTTCTGCCATTTTGACTCCGTCATACACTGTTTGCCAGCTGGAACGTTGTTCAGCAATGATCTCCCATTCGTTAATTTCATTGTTGGCTTCCCTCATGCTCCTTTTGCAAACGTCGATAAATCTCAGGCATGGCCGTCCAACTCTCCATACAGAAGCTTCTTTGGAATACGGCCTTCCTCCATTCTCCTTACATGACCTAACTAACGAAGGTGCCTCTTGCTAAGAGCGGAGATATGCTACACATTTTTGCACGTTCCAAGACATCTGTGTTAGGCACTGCGTCCTGCCATCGAATGCGTAAAATGCGACGCAGACATCTTTGGTATATTTAAGTTAAAAGAGGGGCCCCGGAAGAGAGCCCATTCCTAATTGCACCGATTTAGTTTCGCCTGAGATGGGGGTCCTATAAAATCAATCAGATAAATAACAAAGTTACACTTTTTTGTAAATCGATTAAAATCGTTTAAAATTGCCAAACAAACAAAACAAACTTTCACTTTTATAGATATGATATGATATCAATCAAATTTTGTTTACGGTTTTGTTCCGCGTATGTTTCTACATAGATTGATGGATCATGAGAAAAATTGGCACATAGATCCATCATTTTTCAGATTCAAATACTGGGGGGTTTTGAACTTTTAAAAGCATTCCTTTTAGAATGTTCCAGAAATTTCTATATTGTTCGACGGGGATATATAGTTGGATCTAAAGCTTATTGACATGTTAGCTGTTCTATTGAGGTCTTTACTTTCTGGGAGATTTTCGCTATGTCTGTCTCCCATTCGGCATCGGGCTACCATGGGAAAAAGATCTTTATCTGCAGTTTTTTTGTTTGTTTTTTTTCAAAAAAAAATTCTTGGCGGTATGTTTTTTGAAGGCCCCTTTACTTCGATGTTAGCTAAAAGGCTGTTGAGGTTGTTTTTTACAGGCCCTTTTACTTCGATGTTAGCTAAAAGGCTGTTGAGGTTGTTTTTTTTGAAGGCCCCTTTACTTCGATGTTAGCTAAAAGGCTGTTGAGGTTGTTTTTTACAGGCCCTTTTACTTCGATGTTAGCTAAAAGGCTGTTGAGGTTGTTTTTTTTGAAGGCCCCTTTACTTCGATGTTAGCTAAAAGGCTGTTGAGGTTGTTTTTTACAGGCCCTTTTACTTCGATGTTAGCTAAAAGGCTGTTGAGGTTGTTTTTTTTGAAGGCCCCTTTACTTCGATGTTAGCTAAAAGGCTGTTGAGGTTGTTTTTTACAGGCCCTTTTACTTCGATGTTAGCTAAAAGGCTGTTGAGGTTGTTTTTTACAGGCCCTTTTACTTCGATGTTAGCTAAAAGGCTGTTGAGGTTGTTTTTTACAGGCCCTTTTACTTCGATGTTAGCTAAAAGGCTGTTGAGGTTGTTTTTTACAGGCCCTTTTACTTCGATGTTAGCTAAAAGGCTGTTGAGGTTGTTTTTTACAGGCCCTTTTACTTCGATGTTAGCTAAAAGGCTGTTGAGGTTGTTTTTTACAGGCCCTTTTACTTCGATGTTAGCTAAAAGGCTGTTGAGGTTGTTTTTTACAGGCCCTTTTACTTCGATGTTAGCTAAAAGGCTGTTGAGGTTGTTTTTTACAGGCCCTTTTACTTCGATGTTAGCTAAAAGGCTGTTGAGGTTGTTTTTTACAGGCCCTTTTACTTCGATGTTAGCTAAAAGGCTGTTGAGGTTGTTTTTTACAGGCCCTTTTACTTCGATGTTAGCTAAAAGGCTGTTGAGGTTGTTTTTTACAGGCCCTTTTACTTCGATGTTAGCTAAAAGGCTGTTGAGGTTGTTTTTTACAGGCCCTTTTACTTCGATGTTAGCTAAAAGGCTGTTGAGGTTGTTTTTTACAGGCCCTTTTACTTCGATGTTAGCTAAAAGGCTGTTGAGGTTGTTTTTTACAGGCCCCTTTACTTCGATGTTAGCTAAAAGGCTGTTGAGGTTGTTTTTTACAGGCCCTTTTACTTCGATGTTAGCTAAAAGGCTGTTGAGGTACTATTCACTAAATCTGGGAAAAATCATACTATAGAAGAGAATTTAATCAAACCATCAATATCAGCATTTCTCAAAACGGTTCTGAAGAAAGATGACAAAGACGTGAAAGCTATACCACTCAGTAACAATATACGAAATGAGTGAAGATATTGAAATACAACTTTTTGAAAAGCTGAAAACAAGAAAATTCTCAGTACAAATGGATGTATCAACTTTGAGAGACATTGGAGTTGTATTGATAACTTAGTAAGATACATTCATAAAGGATATTTTGCAGAAGAGATGTTGTTATGTAAATCATTATAAAGAACAACTACTGCCAAAGATATATATATATATATATATATATAGTCTATAATAAGCTAAAAATGTACTTAGATGTCAGTAATATATCAATGAAAAATATAACATCTTTTGCTGCAGATGGTGCTCCTATTATGGTGGGCTAGAAAAATGGCTGTTTAAAATTGATGAAATAAATAATCCAGAAATGCTACTGCAGGGCTGCCACTCAAATTTTTTTAATTCCCAAGATTTGGTCAAAATATTTCCCAAGACTTCCCAAGATCATGAAAATATATGATTTTTTTTGTTTTGTTTTTTTTTTAATGATCTTGGGAATTTTTTTTTAAAAGTGAGTTTTGGCCCTGAATGGGGTTGTGAATTCCCAAGATCTTCGGAAATCTCCCAAGGTGTGGCAGCTTGTGCATTGTATTATTCATAGGGAAAATTAGGAGCTAAAACATTTTGCCTGTTCAAAATGAAATACTAAATTCAGTTCTAAAGCGCATCAATGCTATTAAAGCTAACACCAAATGTGAACGTCTCTTCAAGCTATTTTGTTAAGAACTAATTGCAGACTATGTGAGACTTCTACGTCACACTGAAGAAAAATGGCTTTCGAAAGGGAATTGCCTGAAAAGATTTAAGGAACGATTCACTAATTTGATACTCATGCCTTTTTTTTTTTAAAGAGACAAACCTGAAATGAAGGATCTGTTAACGGTCGAGTTGAAAGCATGTGTGAGTTATTTGGCCGATATCTTTGAAAAACTTAATATATTAAATAACCAACTTCAAGGAACAAATAAAACTCTTGTCGATGCCAAAAGCGAATATATTTGGTTCCATTCCTTTCTTGAATTACGTCAAAAAATATTTACAAAAAAAAAAATTTTAAAGTTGCATTGGCTCCAAAAACTATTGTTACCATTTCCATCTTCAGCTACATTTAGCTTAACGTGAATTTAGTGCCATAAATTATTTGTTGTAGAGAAGGAAAAAAAAGTTAAAAATGGAAAAGAAATCGGAAGGATATAACACAACAGGGAGACTTGAGACTGAAAGTAACTAAATTGGAACCTAAGATACAATCTCTTGCAGCAAGCATCGATCATAAACATATCACTAAATTTAAAAATAAATAATTACTAATAATTAAAATAATATAGAAAAATATTTCATTTAAATTATTTCGTACTTGAATTTCAGGTCTAGATTAAGTGTTTTTAAAATGTACCTACTATGTTTCCTCACTAATTTCCTAGTGATTACTTCCTAAAATCTATCATTTAAGTTTCTTCAGTGAGAAACCCAGTTTTGGAATATTAAAAATTATGTATATGATACATAAGGGGGGGGGCATACGAATTTTAGAAAGGCTTAGGTGGGGCGGGGGAGTAACAATTTTTGGGAAACAATGCTGTAGAGCTGGTGTCTCAAACTCGCGGCCCGCGGGCCATTTGCGGCCCGCAAGACGATATTTTGCGGCCCACTACATGACAGCAAAGTTTAGGGATAATGCGGCCCGCGCGTTTTCCTCACCAATATATCTATAATGTGACCCTCCCAGACAGTTTCAGTCGAATCTGAGCGATTAATCTAATTCTGATTTGTATTATGTTTGTATAGATTTGGACGTTGGAGCCTGTCAGTTTGTTCACTTTCAAAGTAGGGTTAGTCAAAAAGACCTTTCTACGATTAAAAAAATCAAAACTCATTCTCATAAAGAGTACCTGCTTCTGCCTACTGTTTGAACATGTTTTAGCATTTAAAGCTTTCGTGGAGAAGGATGAGTTGGTTGTTCCTATACTAAGTGATCCCATATATTTCATGGACTTCTCATCTCTTGTTGACATTACACAGGAGCTGAATATACCATACAAGAAGTTATAAGACCAGGGATATGCTTGTCAGTGTTGTCTATGACAATGTCAGGGCATTCTGCACAACATGCCAAATTGGCTAATTGCATCACTCTGTTTACAAACATGCCAAATTGGCTAATTGCATCACTCTGTCTACAAACATGCCAAATTGGCTAATTGCATCACTCTGTCTACAAACAAGCCAAATTGGCTAATTGCATCACTCTGTTTACAAACATGCCATTTTGGATAATTGCATTTTTTCTGTTTACAAACATGCCAAATTGACATATGTATCATTCTGCTAACAAACATATCACATTGATATATGCATCATTCTGCTAACACACATGCTACATTGGTATATGTGACCTTTTTTTTTACAAACATTCCACATTGACATATCAATCACACTGCTAACAAACATGCCACATTGACATATCAATCGCACTGCTAACAAACATGCCACACTGACATATCAATTACACTGCTAACAAATTGACATATCAACCACAAAGCTAATGAAGATGCCATAGTGGCATATCAATCACTCTGCAATGTCTTTAGCTGTACCCTTAATGTTTCCAGGTTTTATTAACTCGTTCTTGTCCTGGCAAGCCTGGATTCCTCTGTCACGCCTGACCTTTGGAACCTACTTGACCCACATGATGGTCATCATGTATTTCAACAACAATGAAAGGACGGTGGCTTATTTCAGCTTTCATGGTGTTGTAAGTATTCGAAGGCATTTTGTTGGTACATCGGTGTCTTTCTAATAGGATGGGCATTAATATCAGCGGCGTATCTAAACGAAATGCCGCCCGGAACGAACTATGAAAAGTGCGCCCCCCCCCATCCCATACACACACCATTACGATTATGTCACACCCCAAAAGTACTGCCACGGGCCTTCACACCCCCCCCCAATCCCATACACACATCATTACGATAATGCCACACCCCAAAAGTACTGTCACGGGCCTTCACACCCCCAATCCCATACACACACCATTACGATAATGTCACACCACAAAAGTACTGTCACGGGCCTTCACACCCCCAATCCCATACACACACCATTACGATAATGTCACACCCCAAAAGTACTGTCACGGCCCTTAACACCCCCAATCCCATACACACACCATTACGATAATGTCACACCACAAAAGTACTGCCACGGGCCTTCACACCCCCCCCCAATCCCATACACACACCATTACGATAATGTCACACCCCAAAAGTACTGTCACGGCCCTTAACACCCCCAATCCCATACACACACCATTACGATAATGTCACACCCCAAAAGTACTGCCACGGGCCTTCACACCCCCCCCCCCCCAAACCGGTCCATATTTGCCACTCATTACTGTTATTTGCAACTATACTTGTTGACCTAAGGAAAGCTGATTTTGTTGCCATGGTTACGGCTGTCTTTAATGTTTAGCCATGAAGCATGAGGATATGCAGTAGCTGGTAAGAGTGGGCCAACCTCAGACACGGCTAGATCAGGGTTGTAAATTTTGTTTTATAGATAATGTATAGACAATGGTGGACTGTATATGAACGTTAAGTATTAACAAATTATATGTCTTTTTATACCTGTGTGTCTATGTATACCTGTGTGTCCTTTTATACCTGTGTGTCAATTTATGTCAGATAAACATGCAGTACCTGGGCACCCTTATTTTGTGATAGGCCTTATATCCTTTGTGTATTTATGTTACAGATACAACGGTACCTGGCCACATTTGTTGTGTCCTACGCTCTGTCCTTGGTCCTGTCTTTACTCATTGAGACGCCGGTCAGAAATCTGACCAAGCCGTCAGCAAAAACCAGGACACCAGAAAAGCCTGCCCTGAACACCACACCAGGGTCCCTTCAGCGAGACATACGTAAACCAGACCAACGTCAGCCCGAGACCCCAAGACCGAGGGTCCATCCCATTCACAGGCAAGATGATGGGCTAGACGATGATGGTGTAGATGGTGGCAAGGCAGGTGATGGGAATTTTGAACTTAGGACTTTGAATTTCCCTAGACCTCCCACAAGAGGTGTGTACAATCGAGGATTCATATCTGATAATCCGTACGACGATATCATCAGTCCAGAGCTGCATTCAACATCAGTCACGCGCTGGCACATTTGAGAAATCAACAGTTTCTATTACTTTTGTAGGATTTGACTGGTGTAATGTTTGTACCACTTGACAGTTATCATGTTTGTAGTACTCGACACTTGTTTTGTTTGTAGGACACCACAATTGTCATTTTTCGTAGTACTTACCAATATAAAACATATATTTTACAACTTCTTAAATGTTTATTTTTTCATTAATTTAAAAACTGTCAACTAAGGGTGTCATTGAAATGTGCACCATATTATATTTTGGATTTAAATATAGAGCGTGTAGTTAAAAAGAATATTTATAAAACTAAAAGTGTTCTGTCAAATCCAACTATCTTTATTTGTGTTATGTGTAAGTTAAATATGAAATGTCCATTGATTGCCACTAAATAAACGACTTCAGTTTACGTAAATTGAATGACATGAATATTTCAGTTTTATTATTATTAACATTAGTACTCTCAGAGTTTTTAATATTGAAAGATTCTTACTAATTTTTTTTTTCATATATTTTTTAAAATTGTAATTATTTTTTTTTTACACCGAACTCCCAACCCTTTTGACAACTCCTTCGCCCCCCCTCCCTTTTTTGGCGTCATTGAATTCTGCCCCCCCCCCTTTTTTTTTTTATCCCCAGTTTTTTCATTTTTTTTTTAAAATTTTAATTATTTTTTTTTTACACCGAACTCCCAACCTTTTTTACAATTCCTTCGCCCCCCCTCCCTTTTTTTGCGTTATTGAATTCTTCCCCCCCCCCTTTTTTTTTTTATCCCCAGCATCTTCCCGGTAAGTAATAGTACGTACAAGAAATAATAAAATCCCTGATTTCGTGTATAGAACATGGGTGTGAAAGTAAGTTTACAGACGGTAAATATAAATTAGTCCGCAATATTGACGTTCATTAAAAAAAAAATAAGAGAGAGAGAGAGAGAGAGAGAGAGAGATGGTGAGAGATGGTGAGAGATGGTGAGAGATGGTGAGAGATGGTGAGAGATGGTGAGAGATGGTGAGAGATGGTGGGCCTACTCAAAGAGGCTCTTGGATCGAAACAATCTGGGAAATTTCAGAGTTTGTGATTTCTTCTTGTCTGCTGTAAACATTTACGATCAAAATCAGGAGAAACACGAATAAGAAGGCCATACAACAAACTACGATGAGAATGCCATCAATCAGGTGGCCCAGTCTTATATGATAAATGGCTAGTACTCATAATGGCCTCTTTGGGAGGAAATGCTAGAAGAAACAGTAGCGAGCATTAAAGAGTGACTGTCGCTGATCTCATTTTAAATTTCACACAGAGCAACGTTCCCAAAATGATCTCCATCATTTAGTACACCGTTCCCAAAATGATCTCCAACATTTAGAAGAGAGTTTCCAACATGATCTCAATCATTTACAATAGCGTACCCAAAATGACCTACATCATTAGAACAGCGTTCCCAACATCATGACCTACATCATTTAGAACAGCGTTCCCAACATCATGACTTACATCATTTAGAACAGCGTTCCCAACATCATGACCTACATCATTTAGAATAGCGTTCCCAACATCATGACCTACATCATTTAGAACAGCGTTCCCAACATCATGACTTACATCATTTAGAACAGCGTTCCCAAAATCATGACCTACATCATTTAGAATAGCGTTCCCAACATCATGACCTACATCATTTAGAACAGCGTTCCCAACATCATGACCTATATCAGTTAGAACAGCGTTCCCAACAACATGACCTACATCATTTAGAAGCTACACTTTGTAGAATCAATGTTCTCAGAAGTTACATTAAAGAAAAACACAAAATGATTTACTACCCTTAGATAGTATCTTAACAACAGTTTCAATGTTTGACTACACTTAGATAGTATCTTAACAACAGTTTCAATGTTTGACTACACTTAGATAGTATCTTAACAACAGTTTCAATGTTTGACTACACTTAGATAGTATCTTAACAACAGTCTCTATGTTTGACTACCCTTAGATAGTATCTTAACTACAGTCTCCATGTTTGACTACACTTAGATAGTATCTTAACAACAGTCTCAATGTTTGACTACACTTAGATAGTATCTTAACAACAGTCTCAATGTTTGACTACCCTTAGATAGTATCTTAACAACAGTCTGTATGTTTGACTACCCTTAGATAGTATCTTAACAACAGTATCTATGTTTGACTACACTTTGATAGTATCTTAACAACAGTCTCAATGTTTGACTACCCTTAGATAGTATCTTAACAACAGTCTCCGTGTTTGACTACACTTAGATAGTATCTTAACAACAGTCTCAATGTTTGACTACACTTAGATAGTATCTTAACAGCAGTCTCTGTGTTTGTTTTACCGACCTTAGACATACCTCGTTTTGCTATGTCATTTTGAACTTTAAGCTTTTTGTAACTTTTTGTTTTAATAAGGTGAAATTATTTACGATCTTCGAGATGTCACAAAAAAGTAAATTTAAAAATCAAACAACTTTGAGCACACTGCAGGAATACAATCTATAAATCTTGCACTACTATGAAAACATTTTCTCGAACCACCTCTGCAAACTTCTCATTTAATAAAAGTGTTCCTTATGAAAGAGTAACAAACAAAGATTATTTAAAGTATTTAAAATATTTTAAAATGTATTACTTATTATTAAAGAAATATGTTAACAAAGTGTCTTTAAATTAGTATTTATTAGAAACAAAAATCAGTAGGCCCAATAGAACAAATGTTTTCTTTAGTTTCATAAATATGTTTAAGTTCATAAAAATGATTAAAAAATAAATAATTAAACCTTGTTATTTTCTGTACCATTCCTAGTCACACTGCACAATGTAAAAATAGAAAATTTTGAGCATAATATCAAGATTTGCTTAGGAGAGAATCTCTATTGACAATTATTTTTTAAAATTATTACAAAACTTTGTATTTAAGTTTTGAAGTAAATATAGTATTATTAATATAGAGGAATTGACGAATAGAACACGATAAACATAGAATTATTTCTTTGTTTTAAGAAGAGTCTCACTCAAGTGCATATGACACCGACACGTCCAAACAGCATCCTAGACCTTATCAACGTCCAACCCCCCCCCTCGTTAAACAATCCACGTGTGTCCCAGGCATATCTGACCATGACGCAGTAGTGTCTGACTTCTACTTCAAAGCTGAAATTACGCGCCAGAAACCCAGAAAATCTTACAAGTTCAGTAAAGCAAACTGGGACAAGATCAAACTGGGACAAGATCAAACTGGGACAAGATCAAACTGGGACAAGATCAAACTGGGACAAGATCAAACTGGGACAAGATCAAACTGGGACAAGATCAAACTGGGACAAGATCAAACTGGGACAAGATCAAACTGGGACAAGATCAAACTGGGACAAGATCAAACTGGGACAAGATCAAACTGGGACAAGATCAAACTAGATCTCGCCGCCGCTGAACAGATCATCCTAAAAAATATAATGAGTGAGAGGATGTAGATACACTATGGTCGACTTTCAAAAATACCTTAACCAACAGCATAGATCAAAATATCCCATCAGCGACAGCAAAGAATCCATGTCATCTGACATGGCTAAACGCATGGCTCAAGAAGCTGCTGAAGAGAAAGAAAAGACTATTGAAGAAAGCCCAAACTACCAACAACTAGACCCTGTACCGCCAGTTCCTAAAACATTGTCGTAGGGAACTAAGAAGAGGAGAGTGGCAGCACATAAATGGAGTCATCCAAGGTGGCAGTACATAAATGGAGTCATCCAAGGTGGCAGTACATAAATGGAGTCATCCAAGGTGGCAGTACATAAATGGAGTCATCCAAGGTGGCAGTACATAAATGGAGTCATCCAAGGTGGCAGTACATAAATGGAGTCATCCAAGGTGGCAGTACATAAATGGAGTCATCCAAGGTGGCAGTACATAAATGGAGTCATCCAAGAAGGCCTCGGAAACAATAACACAAAACCCTTCTGGCGCTACATTGAATCCAGGAGGCAAGACAACATCGGCGTAGCCCCCCTACTAGAAAACGGGCAACTTGTAAGCGATGGCCAATGAAAAGCAGAGATTCTCCTAAAACAGTTTCAATCCGTCTTCACCAAGATCTCCACCACAGTCATACTATCCCTAAAACCTTCACCTGGTACAATAGGCCCACTTTAACATAACTGAAACAGGAGTAGCCAAACTTCTCAAAAACCTGAAACCCAATAAAGCGCCCGGACCTGACTGTATCCCGAACATTGTCCTGAAGACCCTGGCTGACAACATTGCGCCAACCATGACGCTTGACTCCAGCAAACTCCCGCTAGACTGGCTTGATGCAAAGAACACTAGTGCCTACAAGAAAGGTGACGTCATAACCCAGTAAACTACCGCCCAATATCCCTGACCTCCGTCCCATGCAAAATCCTGGAACACATCATCTGTCGCCACATCATGAACCACCTTGAACACTACAACATTTTGACCAACCTAAATCACGGTTTCCGCTCTGGATTCTCAACGGAAACTCAATTTTGTAACAAAACAAAATTTTGTAAAAAAGCCAACTCCACCGTAGGTTTCATCCGAAGAAATCTGCGGCACTGCCCAACTTCCTGCAAACGAAATGCCTATCTCGCACTCGTCCGTCCACTACTGGAATATAATGCGATCATCTGCGACCCACACCTTAAGCAAGTCGTGGACACGATGGAGAGAATTCAACGTAACGCGGTGCGTTTTATCGCTCGCGACTACCAATCCACCACTCCTGGCTCCGTGACTGGCCTCTTAAAAAGATTTTACATCCTTCCCCCTTAAAGACAGACGAGAAGGACTCTGCCTGATTTTTTTATATACAGTGATCATGGGACTGGTGCCGGCCATCCCAGCAGGCACATACCTCACCGCTCAGAAGCCGGGTAGACTGATCAGAGAAAAAGGCTCACTGAACACTGACTTCACCACTGACATTCCCATTAACAATTACACCAGAAACAATAGCAAATGCTTCAAAGTGCCTCAGTGCAACACAGTGCAGTATCAACAATCTTTCTTCCCACGCACAATAATAGCATGGAACAACCTGAACGATGCCACTGTGAACTCGACATCGGTCGAAAGCTTAAAGGCTGCCCTGCATCAGCTAGGAGCTGTTAGAATATCAACATCATATCCCCAACCGTTGCAAAGATGCCAGTACATGGATGCAGCAACGAAACATTACCAGAACCAGAAAACTAAAAGAAAAAAGTAGTAACACAGATTTAAAAGTTGGCGAATTAAGTTTTATTGTTAATTTTTTTAAATTTTTTTTTTAATGGAAGCAGCTATATTTTTTTAGAAACATTTAATTCACTCTCAATATACAACATGAATTTACAAAAGCAATATTACAATAACATTAACATGTTTAACTTTAGTACCTTTTA